AAAAGGGTTCAGCTGCGAGTGGGTCACCGAGAAAGACCCGCGGGACCAACCTCCAGCTGAGAAGGGAGCCGCTCCTACCCAGGGCCGCCATCCGAGCCTCCGGGACAGCTATTCGGCACAACTGCAACGGTCGGCGGGATTCCCCTCGCAGTTCCAAGGGAAGCGGCGGCCTTTGGGGCAGGCGGCTCCCGGGCCGCCAGGAGAACTCAACCACAGCAGCGCCATTTCCCGGCGGGCGGTTCTAATAAAGGCGGGGAGGCGGCGAAAGGTCCCCTCGTCCACGCCGGTCCCAAGCGGAGCGCACGGCTGTGGCCGCCCCGGGGAGGAAAGGCTGCAGGCCAGAGCTACCTCCTTCCAGCAGAGAAGCCCTTCCGGCCCTCCGGGGACACTGGGCACAGGCAGCGCCTCGGAGGAGCCGTTTGCGCCGCCTCCGATGGCCTGTAGGCCAACCACCGCGGGGGCCAAGGGGGAGTGGGAAAGAACCGCCGCCGCCGCCTGGCACCCGGCCACCCCGCCTTCAACGGTGGCCTCCAACACCGCCCGCTGGCCCAGGCCGGGCTTGGCCCTTGCGTGGCTCCGCTTCCGCAGCGCCAGGAGGGTCCCGGGATGCCGGGGGAGGAGGCCGCGGGAAGAGCACGGAACGCACAAGCGGCCCCAAACCCCGAGGAGCGGCGGGCCCTGAACGGAGCGGCGCCGCTCAGCTTCGCCCACCGAGGAGCAGCCCCAAAGCCGGGCTGGGCAGGGGCGCCGAGGAGAGCTGGGGCGCCCCGGGGCCAGCCGAGCTCGGGGGGGGAGGCCTACCTCGCCGCGCCGCCAGCAGCCTCGGCCTTCAGGCGGAGCGAGCGGGCGAGCTCGCGCCACGGGCCCGCCTGGCCGGCGCCCCCGGGCCCTGGCCCCGCCTCCCGCCGCAGCCGGCCAATCGGAGCCGCCCGGGGAGATCCGCGCTCAACGGCCGGGGCAGAGCAGAGACGCCCGGCTGAGACGCCGCCGGCACCAGCCAATCGGAAAAGGGGGCCCGCCGTTGCCCGGCAGCGGGAGGACGCTTCGGGGCGGGGCCCGCCGCCACGTGGAGCCCTCCGTGCAACTCTACCCGGAAGCGCACCTGGCGGAACCTCCTCCCCCCAAATTGGAGCCTCCGGTTTGCCTTCGTGCCGAGCGCCCGGGTCCCTCGGGGGTCGGGCAGCATCGCCCCGGACAGCGGAGGAGGCGTTTGGTCGCCTCTCCCCATGAGCAGCATCGTGGACTTCAGAGAAGCCTCTTCCGGTTCCTTCCCCTCCAAGCAAAAGTCGATGTTTGAACTCCCTGTGCAAATCGGTGCACGGATACCTTTCCTGCTGGGCTGCAAAGGGACATGGCTGCAATGAGGCCCGGAGGCCCTCCTGAGTACGAGTGAAATGTTCTCCCTTGGCCCTGAAGGCCTCTTCTATGCCAATCTGGGAGGCCAGTGACAGGATTGTGTGGGACAGAAACTGAAGGCCATCCTTTAAAAATTGCCTAAACCCCCCCACCCCACCCCAGCTCTGCAGTCACATGGAGCTGTGTCTTTATCCTGCATTGTTGGCTTCTATCTTTTATTTTGAAAGACCTTCGGAAACAATTCTGCCAAGAGTGGGAATGCCAATCTGGTGGAGGGCCAAGGGATAACAAGGAATTGCTGTGTTCACACGGGAATTAATGCTTTATTGAATCAACTCATTATCTGGGGTCACACCATGGTCTGAACCATAAACTAAGCAAAGATAACAGGGACCACTCAATCCGAGTCTTGACCAACATTGGTATTGGTTATGATGTGGTAGGAATAGAGATTAGCAGGGACTCGGCCACTGGTTTCATTTAAGGATGAAGATGTGCTTTCTCTTTTGCTTAAACTATGAGACGCAATTTCTGTTGGCTTGAGGGCCACAATGGGCAAGATGAGGGTGCACTTGGGGCAGCATATGGAGGAGCCTTAATGGCACCTTACAGCTCTGCAAAGAAGATCCAAACTTTGGGGGCCACTTATCGTGGATGCCAGAAAAAGATTCAAGGTGCACAAAAGAGCAAAGAAAAGTGAGTTTTGCATCATGTCAGCCCAGCTGACCCAAATTTGCATCCTGAGCCTTAGTGGGGAAAAGGAAAACCCAGAAGCATTCCGCCATCCAAGAGATAGCCAATGCTAACTCTCATCTGCCCCTCAGACATTTTGGATTCTGTACAAATTCTGATACGTTTACCTCAAATTTGGTCCAGCAAAATTGTTTTCCTAAGGTTTTTTTCTTTCTTCAGGCTGTAGGTCTTGATTTTTGGTTCTGCTTTATCTGAAAAACAGCCTCATAACTTCAGCATCTTGAAATCAGGTGGCCTCAACTTCCTTTCCTTTTGCTGGGACGTCAGCAGGCTCAGCTTCCAAAGTTTCCCTGCAAGGGCTCCTGAGAACCTCTGCTCAGTGCGGCCTTTACTTGGCTCCCTGAGTGACTCCTTTCCAAGCCCAAAGTTCCTTTGGAGTCCTTTCACCTTGCTTATCAGAACAATATCATCACTGCCATCCATATCCAAAGCGTATGACTCACAGAGATCACTTAAGCTTCCAGCTTTGCAAACTTTCGTGCCAGTTTATATGTTCATACAAAAGTTTTAAGCTTTAGAGTGGCTGCAATTGTCAAGCAATTGGACTTGGATGAAAAGCTGCTGTTAAAATTTCTAAAGCCAAATGTGGCTGTTCCGCTCTTGTTAAAATCTATGTAACAAATTATTGTGATTTGAATAACTTCTGTCACATTTAAATAGCAATAAAATGCTGGATGTTTGTATTCGTGGCACTTCTAACTGCCTGCAACTAATCTCGAAACAAAACAATCTCTTTACTTGCAACAAAGTAAACTCAGTTAATGGTTCTATCTATATATCACATTAATTTATAAAGTGCTTTATTTTTGTTGAATACACAGTGCAACTGTAGCTATTCAGGCTGTTTATCCAGGTTTTATGATTTGTGTAATTGCAAAATTATAGTCTATTCATTAAATTTGGTTAACCAAAACCACGATACCATCTGAACAAAGCCAGTATGCTCCCAATTGCCTCTCACTTTCACTAGCACCCAGGCAGCCTCACTCCATACATCCTGCCCTCCTTCCACTTCTTAGGGGCTTCTCTAGTTCTCACCTATCTGTGTTAAGGAGCCTACACGTAGCACAGGAATCTGTCTACACAAGTATGAGAACGTGTAGCAAATATTTTTTTTAAATTACTTAATTGGGTGTTGCTGAGCTAACTTCATTCCAATTTAGAAGCAGCAGTTCCATCTTTTAGTTGTGTGCAATCTGTATCATAATTGTGTATCCAACCCACCCTGGGAAAAAAACGCTGCCTCTACAGGGAGAGGATTCCTGCACAGAGATAATTCCTGCCCAACCCATTACTCAAAGACAGCCCTGAATGGAGCCCTGGGGGCTATGCAGAAGGGCCACCCTAGCATTTCTGCCCAATGGCATCACCCGCCTCCTTGTTTCCCTGCGATGCTAGGGGAGGGGGAGGCAAGCGTAAGTCAAGATGGCAATTGAGTGATTAATTCTCAGGATTGCTAAATATATAAACCTCTCTCACACAAAAATCTATTCTTACCCAACCATGCTGCTTGCTGACTACGAGCAATTCTTTTAAGTTAGGAAGGGACTTTCGTTTTCAGAGAAACTCATACCTTGAACAGATCAGCACAATACAGGTTGATGGCTTGACAGGTGTGGAGCCTTTTCACTTTTTGCATGGATTTCTGCATTTTTTGCTTGTGCTACTTAAAGAGGAATCTGCATATAGGAGAAAGACAGGCACAAACAACAGCTCCGTTTCAGAGGCAACACAAATCCACCTGTCACCAAGGCGCTGCTGGATGCAACAGAATCCCCCAAAGGGGCTCCCGCCTCTCCCAACGCAGGGAGCAAATGGCTCATCTTTCGTGGGATCCCTCCATTTCTCTCCCAGGAGAGAGAAAAACCAGGACGCTGAGCTCAGGAGGCAGATGTCCACTTGTGGATGGATTCCACACCTGTCAGTCTTTTCCATTCCAGAGCTTCTGTAGAATGCTACCTGAGCAGCTTTCTACCATATTTACTTATATTGTTAGCTCAAAGTTGGTCTTACAGTGCCCCCTTTTCCTCAGTTTGAAGAAAAATACATTTTTCTGTTTTTAATTTTTTTCTACCTCACCCTAAAATGCCCCCACCCCCACGTACACACAAGTAGCCAGCAATGAGAAACCATGGCTACAGTGGAATCCTTTGAAATGGGCCCTGCAGCCAGGCGGAAAGAGGTTTCTCTGGGGAACGCTGCCCAGCCCAGCCCTGCCCTGCTCTCTTGACACAGGCTCCTGCAATGAGTCATCCCAAAACTCGCAAAGGAAGTGGGCCCTCCCACTTTCTGCCGACTGCTGAAGTCGGAGCGCAACCTCCACAGGAAACTGGAAAGGGCTCGGCCCCCCTGCCCCCCACCTTCCCCCTTTTCACTTCCCTGTGTTTATCCATGCACATCTGCAATGATTTGCCTCCTGGCCTGGTTTCCAGGGAGTCCTGTGGCATTTGGGCTCAATGCTGGTCTTGGCCTCTTCAGACAGGCAACTGTTTCTCCCCTCCCTTCTCCAAAACCAGCACCCAAGAGCCCTGGCAGATAATTGACCTGGGCCCACAGAGGAGCAATGCCGGCTTTCTGACAAGCCCATGGAGCCCACCACCCAAAAACTGGACTCCTCTCGTCTGTCCCAAGAGGCTGGCCTTCAGGGCCCCGTCCCATTGTCTTGCCTGGTCCAGCCTGGGGGGTGGTCTTCCCTTGGGCAGAGAGACCTCCTGCATTCACCACACTCTGGCACAGCAGAGACAAGAACTTTGGCTCATTTTTTTTAATGTACCACAATGAGCAGGAAACATACTTGATGAAATATTTTCAAAGGAGTATATTCAATTACCATCTACAATCAACTTAACTATGACAACAAAGTGTTTTGTGACAAAATTTGTTTGGTTTTCTTTTAGAGTTCTGTGTGGTTCTGCTTTTGTCCATCTCTATGTATTTTGGTACAATTTGAGATCAGCATTATTACAGTAACAAAAAAGCTAACAAGACAACATTATAGAAAAACACCAAGAACGTCATTTTTGGTTTCACTTGCTCTAGTTTTTGTACATTGCAAAGGCTGTTTAGAGATTTCACCTCATTTATATATTTTCTGTTTTATCCAGACTTGCCCCCCCTCCCCCCAACCAAAGTAATGAAAAAATAGTAAAAAATTATGTGTTTCACAGTGGGCAGGATTTTCAGAGCCATCCATCCATCTAGACAACCAACCAACCAACCAGCAAGAGTTCCATTTCCTCGTGTCCCCAAGGCCACTTGGAATAAGGCCCTGGTGGTCCAGGAAGGCCATTTCTGTTGGCCAGCTGGGCACCCCCTTGGACCCAGCCACATGTTAATGTTCCTGGGCCAGACCACTCCTGGCCTCTGGCTTGGATTCTCCCATCAGACAGAGGGGCTCAGAGGCAGAAGGAGCCTCAGCCCTCTTGGGAGGCCAGGACTGCCATAGCTGCTTGCTCCTCCTGAGGGTCCATGAACCCTCTCCAGTGTCCCAGAGGGTGAGGTGCAATCACGGTAGACCTTAGCTTGGCTCAGGCCAGGAGCCTGCTCAATGCTTGCCACTGCCCTGCTGGGGACGACACTGCTTCCAGGATGGAGGCCTCTCTTCTGCAGCCAGAAGACTGGGAAGGACCTGGGCATGCCCCACGCAGAGGGAGGAAAGCCAGGACAGGAGAAGAGAGCAGGAGGAGGGAACTAGGGCAGAACAAAGAAAGGAGGCCAAAGATGTCAAAGCAAGCAGACCCCAAACTGGCCAGGAAACACGAGTGTTCAACTAGCAAGGTATATCCCACACAAAGAACCAGAAATGAAATGAAAAGCCTCAGGATACAAAGTAATGTTCAACAGTAACACACCAACTCAAAGCATAGGAGCCCTATCTGCACAGCTTCAGCTCTAGAAAGAGGGCTGTGCGGGGGGCCCCAGGCTGCCACTGGGGCAGAGGGACTCTCAGGACCAGGCTTTCCACGCATGTGCAACCAGGGATCCTCCCTCAAGCTACAAGCAGCTAAGAGAGAGGCAGCAGGGAGGTTGTTGCCTCTCCCAGAGCCCCCTTCCACGAGCGGGTGGGTGGGGGAGGCTGGCGCCAGAAGATGAAAGTGGGGCAGGCCTATTGGCAGAGCATCGGGGTGCGGGGTATGGCACGCAGACCTGGCGGCACTGGGCTCCAAACACCTGACTGCAAACTCAGCCTGGCAGCGATGCCAATTCCCCTTCCCAGGAGAGGATCAGAGAAGAAGATTTGGGGTATGGCTCTCCAGCCGCCCCACCCTCCTCACTTCTCAGCACAGCACCCCATAAAAACACCCCACTGGTCTGTCCAAGCTCAGGGCCGGGTACTGGCAGGAGAAGCACAGAGGCTCTTTCATTCACGTAAAGTTTATTGGTCAAATGGAGTCTTGTGGCTAAAAGAGAAACAAATCCTCAAAAGAGGCCTTTTTTGCTCGTTCTGCACCAGGGGTTGAAAGGGTTTGTCTTTGGATTTTATTTAAAGCATGAACTTCTTCTAGAGAAGAGAAACAAAGTAAACAAAAGGAAAAAACAGCCCGCCCACCCACTTGCCCTAACCTCAAAAAATCCTTCAAGAGGAAAAAGGGTGTCCTAATGACAGACAGAGAAACAAGGGCGGACCCTTCCGAAATGGAGCCTTTACATAGGGAGGGAAGGAAGCCAAAAGGAGGGAGGGAGGGAGGGAGAGGGAGAGAGCTAAGTGCATAACGGACAGGAATACACCTTAGAAAGTGTTGAGCTCCCAACTAAAATATTTTGAAAGGGATCCCACTGACCCCTCTGAACCCTTTGAGTTTTTTCCTTTATTTTTATAAAATAACTTTGTGGCCACCCTCTGAGAAATGAAGGCAGCGACTGATAAGTGGAAGCTTATGACGGGATGGCCTGGGGATGGAGGGATGGACGGAGAAACTGCGGCGAGTCAGACGGGGCCTCCATCTGGCCAGGACAGGAATGGACGAGACAACATTGAATGAGAAGCCGCCAGCTGGACCATATACAAAAGCTAAACATACACAAAAAGGGGGGTGTCTTTAAATCTACCATACTGCTTCAGTTCATTTCCAATGCAACAATCTACTCAACACCAAAAATGGTCATATCTATCATAAATACAGAAAGTCAGTTGTTTAAAACTCCCAAGTCCTTAACACTCTGTGTGTTTTCTTTTCTGAAAAAGGGGGGGGGCTGAATGGCCCCCTTGAAATTGGCTTCAGCAGAAAAGATACCCCTAAAACCCCCAGAAAGCTAACTTAGTTCACATTGTTTGTCTCTTCAATACTTTCTGCCCATTTTTAAATTAACAACAAAAAACCTTTTCTTGGAAAAAATCAAAACCAAAAAAAGAAATTATATATATATAATTATATATATATAAAACAATGATTCTGAAAACCAAACAAAGTGTGAGCGATTGACCTGAGAATAAAAAGACGTTACATTTCTTTTTTCCTTTTAGCAAGCAAGCCATTGGTATCTGAAGATAGCAAGAAATTTAAAATGGTCCCGGGTGGCCTGCTTTCCCACAGAGTTGTTATGCTGGCCTCCACTGCGCTCTGGAGGGGGTTGTGCGGGGGTGGGGGGCTGATTCCTGGGGGGCACAGCCACCTTTGAGAGAGCCACAGCAAATCCTTCGGCTGCCCAGAGGCAAGCCGAGCTGCCAGCATTGGCCTCTGGGAAAGCCACCCAGGCGTCTCTCTCTCTCTCCGTTGGTTTTTCTTTTTTGGTTAGAAGCTTTGGAATTGCAGTTAGTCTATTTCTGAAACCGGTTGGGTATTTCTAGATCCATTTTGCAAGGGTCTGTCTTCAAAGCTTACAATCGAAAAGGGTCCACGCTGGGGAGGCTGCTGTCCCGGGGGGGGGGCTGGGCTCTACCGGCCCCCCGGCCTCCAGCCCGTGGCCCGAGTCAGACTCCTCCGAAGAGAATTTCCTTGGCATCAGAGAGGGCTGAACCCCTGAGGTGCTGCATGAGCTTGAGGTAACCGTTGAAGATGAGGAGAGAGGCGGGGGCTTCCCTGGAGGGGAGGCTGCCGGAGGCCAGGGCTTTTGGGAGGCAGGGGGAAGAGCGGCGGGCGGGGGGCCGTTCTTGGGGTGAGCGGTGGGCTGCGAGGTAGATGCGGTGCTCGGGTCAGGGAGGCAGGCAGAGTGAGGTAATTGACTGGGGTGCTCTTTGGCGTTTCTGGCTGCTGCTCGGGGGACTGTCGGATGTCTGTGGGGGGCAGATTCGAGATGCTGCCGGAGGGCCTCTTCCCCACACACCGTGCTCTCGCACACCACACACTGGTAGGAGCCGCCCCCGCCAGCAAGCACCTGAAGCGCCACCTCAGGCAGAGTCCCCGCCGACTGGCCGGAGCAGCAGAGGGATTTCAGGTGCACGTCAGCCGCCTCCTGACTCCCGAATCTGGCCTGGCATTTCCGGCACACCAGTCTGTACTGCACCGGGGGGACAATGAAGGGGTCACAGAGGGAGTCCGGGGCATTACTGCTTCCTGTGGTGGGCTCTCCTCGGGGGGACCCCTCGCGGGAGGTTTTCTTCTGCTCTTCTGGCTTGGGGGGTTCTTTGGCAGGGCCTTTTTCAGGAGAGGGGCCCTCTGCGGGGATGGGGGGCTGGCTGCCTCTGGGCAGGGGCAGCTGCGCTTGCCGTTGCAGTGCCTCCTGGAGGCTCTGTTGATATTGCTGGTAGTGCTGCAACAGAGTGCCCGGGGACACACCAAGCAAGGCCTGTGACAGGGCCGGGCCGTAGGGGAAGACCCCTTCCATGCTGTACATGGGCTGGAGGTATCCGCTCTGCAGGGCCCCTGGGAGCTGAGGAGCATAGTAAGGAGAGAAGCCGGGCACAAAATACGGCAGGAAGGGACTAGTCAGCAAGGCCATGGAGTCCGTGTTGAGGGCCGCCTGCAGGGCCTGCAGCTGGGTAGGCTCCACCGAGTACTCCAGGGCAGGCCCCGTGGCGGGGAAGGCCAGGGCAGGGTTGGGTGCCTCCCCTTTGTCCTTCTTGGGGCCTGGCAGGGCCTCCCCCCTGGCCTTGGGGGCGCGCTCCTTCTCTTTCGCCTTCTCGCTCTCCTTGTCCTTCTGCAGTGGGAGGGGCAGTGCAGAGCCCACGGAAGTTTGTGCTGGCGGGGGGGAGCTGAGGGAGGCCGTCTTATTTGGAGATCCTGAGGTGGGGAGGCCAGGCGAGGGGACGCTTGTGCCCGGCAGACCCATCAGGGCAGGTTTGGGAGACGTTAAAGCTGTAAGGAAGAGGAGAGACAGGTTTGCGGACGGGGAGAGAAAAAACAGGATTTAGGCCTCAATGGTCAGCACGGCCCTGTTGAAGGAACCCTCATACAGACACTTTCAAACAGCGAATACGTAATCTATTTATATGTGAGTTCGCATACACATGTACCACCTTGTTCATTTCCTTCTTTTTTCTGTTTGCTTTTGTTTCTTTTTCTAAGTCTGTCATCTTAAAATTGTCTTGCTGTTTTGTTTATTCAGTAAGCAGCTATTTAAAGGGAAATTCTCCACTCCTACTGTCCCTTCATCTCCGAGAGGGACCTAAAGGGGCCCCACCAGCCCCATTTCGGAGCAGTCCCCTCTGGGGCACACAGACCTGCGGAATCCCACTTGCAGGACCATCTGAAAAGCTCAAAAATCCCTGCTGAGATCAGGAATGTGAGCCCCCAAAACCCAGGAATGGATGTGATTCAACTGGGTCACGGGGTGCACAGGTGGACAGGACCTCCTGACAGGAAAGCAGCCAGGGGGAGGACACTTGTCAGAAAGCAAATGGATAATAAATACCATAAAGCTCTTATAGAAATTTATATTACTGCTATACAGGAATGGGTGGGCTGGTAACTTAGCCTCTCCCACGCTAGCAGAAGTCATCCTAGCCTAGAGAAGTGATAAGAAGCAAGCTCACTTCCCCATCCCGCCTCACTCCAGAGGCAGAGAGCTGACCCTTCTCCCCTGTCACCAAGTTCCCCTCCCTTCCTAGACTGCAAGAGGCCAAAGGCTCTCAAGTCAATGAGACACACACACACACACACACACACACACACACACCCCATCTGAAAAGGAGGTGCCTCCAGCAGAGACTCATTCTGCCCCAGGTGATCCATTTCATATCTCCCTCAGGGGCATGCTTCATCCATGTTCTCCCCTCCTCCCATTTTGGACAACCAAACTGGGAAGTTCACGAGACAGGTGCAACTCACCTGTATTGGAAGGAGTGAAGCCAGGCAGGGATGGGCTGTTCAAACCTGGCAACAGGACAGGAGGGATGCTTTGAAGGGCTGCTGGGTAGTTGGCAGGAATGTTTAGAGCCTGCAGAGGGGAACTGTCAAACATGCCTTGCTGCTGAGCAGCCAGGCCAAGCACTTCATTGGCCTTCTTGATTCGGTCCAGCTCTTGCTGTGCCATCAGCTGGCGGACGGTGGCTGGGTCAAAATACTCCTTCTCTTTGTCCAGCTGGCTCCCAACTGTCTCTTTCACTTTGGAGATGTGCTGCTGAGAGAAGATATGGTCACGAACAGACAGGCGGGCACTGTACTTGATGCCACACAAAGTGCACTCTGTTTTTGGCCCCTCGTAGCCAGTTTGATTAATGCCAAAATGCTTGGCCATGTTGAGCTTGGATTTCTTGTCTTTGGCTCGGGCATTCTGGAACCAGACCTGGACAACTCTCTTGGGCAGCCCAATATCATTGCCCAGAATCTCACACTCCAACATAGTGGGCGTCCTGTAATCGCTAAAGCAGGTCTTCAGGACTTTCAGCTGAAGGTTGGTCATCTGTGTCCGGAAACGCTTCTGCCCTGGCCGGTCACCCACATCCCTGGACTTGCCGCCCGCTGAGCCACTCGTGCCTGGGCTAGGAGAGCAAGGGTCCGCCAGGCTTGATGTCTCGCTGTAATCCACGGTGCCTTCGTTGTCGTACTCCTTGCTGTGGAAGCTGGGAGCGGGGCTCACCAGGCCCGAGGAGAGCCTGTCTTCGTACTCAGACATGGCTAACAGGGCAGCCTTGGCCAGGCTCTCACCTGGCCCCAAGCTCCCTCTGGCCTCTGTGGCACTGTCATTGTCTGCATTGGCCTCGTCACCTGTAGTTGTGTCTGTGAGGGCTGTGTTGACGGAGGAGCAGTCATCATTGTCCAGTTTGGCTGGGTCAAAGCTCAGGTGCACAGAGGACACTGAGGGGCTCTCCAAGTCTTCCATGCCTTCCATTTTGATGGAGGACGGGCTCAGCAGGGTCTGAGGGGACAGCTCTAGAGATTTGCTGCCTGGGGAGAGGGGAATTCCCTGGCTGTCACTGCTACTGCCAGGGGCAGGCAGCTGTGCAAAGTTGGCCCTGTCAAAGAGGTCTCCCTTCCCCACAAGCCCCCCTCCTCCTTCACAATCCAGGAGCATGGCTGACAAGGTCAGGTTGTATCCTGCCCGCTTGGCTTCATGCCAGTGCCGAGATCGGATATGTGCTTCCAGGGCGGTCTTGGCTTTGAAGAGGGCCCGGCAGAAAGGACACCGACGATGGGCTTGAGCAGGCCCCACAGCTCGGAACTGCCCTTTCCTCTCCCGGGCCCGTGTATTCTGGAACCACACCTGCACTACGCGCTTCTTCAAGCCTACTTCATGGGCAATGTGGTCAAGCATCTTCCGTGTAGGATTGGAATCCAGGAGGTACTTTTGGTACAGCACTTCCAGCTGCTCAGGGGTGATAGTCGTCCGGAGGCGCTTATCCCGCTGCGGCTCCTCTCTACCAGCGCTGCCATCATTCCCAACGGGGCTGACGCTGGCTTTCTCCTCCAGCTTCCTCTTCAGGGTGCTCATGGTAGCAGTTGGGGTAGAGGGTGGGGTGGCTGAGCTTGTGGGCAATTGGGAGAGGGTCCCAGAGAGCAGCTGGCTAGCCAGCAGCGGGTTACTGGGGTCAAAGAGCATAAAGGGCAGATCAAGCGTCCTGTCCAGGAACTGAGAATGGAGAAACTGGCCCTGAGTGCTCAGGAAATGCAGCTGCTGATGTTCTTGCCAGTGCTCAAATGAAGGGAAGGCCAGCTTGCACTGCTCACACTGATACGGGACAAGCTGGGGAGGCAAGCTGGCCAGCTGCTGGGCACTCGGCGTGGTCAGGGGCTTGAGAGGCAGCTGGGCAGGAGGAGGGCTTGCCTGGGGCAGGCCACCCTGGAGAGGGTGGGCCAGCTGCTGCTGGAGGGGTGGGGAGACCTTTGGGTGCACGGAGCTCAGCTTCGGCTCTCCTTGGTCCTGCAGTGGCAGCTGCCCGTCTTGCTTTGGTTGCCGTTGCTTCTCTGAAGTTGGGCTTTGTTGCATACTTGAAGGCTCAGGGTGCTTTGGTTTCTCATCAGTAGCGTTTGTTTTAGACTGATAGGCAGCAGGGCAATCACTGTCTGCCTCAGTGGTACTCTGTGACAGAAAGGCTGCACTGGCAGAAGAGGCGGGTGTGCCATGAGCCTGGGAAGGCATTGGGGTGCTGCAGGAGGAACTGCTGGGAGTCAGGAGCTCCGTAGCGTCCATGGAGTCTTCGTTCTGACTGTCCTCCTGCCCATCTTCATCTTCATCCTTGTAGCAGAGCTTCTTCTGATGTTTGATCAGGTCAAAGATGCGCTGGAAGACCAAGCTGCACTTCTTGCACTGGTAGTTCAGGTTGCTCGTTCGGATGTATCGGTCGTTTGTCAGCTCCCGTCGCTCTCCATCTTTGCCGCCTTCCCCCTGATTCTCATAATTCTTTCTGGCTTTCTGGCGAGCGTTCTGAAACCACACCACAATCACCCGCGTTGGGAGACTTAGCAGGTTGGAAAGCTGCTCAAACTCGTCATCCTTTGGATAGGCATTGGCATCAAAGAAGTCCTGCAGCACCCGAAGCTGGTAGTCCGTGAAGCGAGTTCGGGAGGATCTTTTGCTTCCCCAGTACTCATGTTTCTGAGGCTCTGGAGAAGATGGCCGGGAGTCCATTTTCAGATCCTCCAGGCTGGTGATTGGGGGGTTGCTGAAGTTGTACGGTGAGTCCTTGTTGCGCTGGCGCTCTTTGAAAAGCGTATTTCGAAACCAGTGCTTGATCACCTTCTGGGGCAAACCAGATTTCTCTGCCATCTCCTTGATCTGCTCCTCACCTGGGGAATTGTTGATGTCAAAATACTGCCTTAAGACCCGGAGCTGGTCATCGGTGATTCGTGTCCGTGGTCGTTTGTTCTGCTGCTGCTGCTGCTGCTGCGGCAAAAGGCCTGGGTTGAGTTGATGCTGGTACAGCTGAGCCAGCTCTGCAGGTAAAGAGTCGACAGGGGCAAGCTGGGGCGGTAACTGGGCCGGCAGGGCTTGCAAAGGCATGGTTGGCATCATGAGTGGTGAGAAGAGAGGCAGATCCATGGGCATGGGGAGCTGCGTGAGGGGCAAGGAAGGCTGGGTGGGTGTGACGGAGGGAGAGGTCATGGGTGGGGCTGAGGCCTGCAGGGTGGGCGTGGAAGGAGGCTGGGAGGGGGCAGCAGGCACAGCAGGAGCGGGCGCAGGAGGGGGCGGGGGGGCCAGCTCAGGCGTCAGTGGCCGCAGTGGGTAGAGCTGGTCGTAGTGCTCTCGGTACTGCTGGGCAAACCATTCCAGCTGCTGGAAGGGGAGATAGTGCTGGTGGACGTGTTCCTGGTGGGTCTTCAGGATGAGCACGTTGGAGAAGAACTTGCTGCAGGACTCGCATTCCAGCCTCTCCAGGCTGTTGGCCTGCTCAGCCCTCCCAACTGCCTTCTGCTTGTTCTCGTTGTACTGAATGACCAGCTCAAACCCAAAGTTCTCCAGCAAAGCTTTGGTGGCGTTGCCACGAGCATCTGCAGCAATGCGAGGAGGGAGCCGGAGCGCCTCCCCAGGGCTGCTTCCAGCTGCTTCTGTGGCCCCCACTAGGTCAGCCTTCTCTTGGGCCTTGCTGGCCTCGGTTGGGGGCTCTGGGCAGAGGGGGCTTCGGCCGCCCTTCTCTGCCACCTCCTGATCCCGCTGGGCCTCCTTTTCTTTCCCCACAGACTTGGCCTTCTTGTCTGGGGGCAAGCTTGCTGGGAGGAGCACGCACGGAGGTTGGGACAGTGGAAGCTGCGGCTGCACCTGCGGGTGGCTTGGCTGTGGAAGCTGGGCTTCCAGGTCTTCCAGCAGGCCTGGCCCACTGCCTGTCAGCATCAGGGTGCCATTGGTCACCGGCAAGCTCACCTCGGCGTTCAGCTGCAACTCGGCACTGGGAAGATAGAAGGGGAAGAGTAGCTGCTGCTGCTGCTGCTGATGCAGGAGAGCCTCCGGGGCCATGGGGAAGCGGGGCAAGAGCGCCGGGTTGAAAAGCTGGGCCTGCAGAAGCGACGCCTGCTGCTGCAGCTCTTGCTGCAGCTGGGCCTGCACCAAAGAGTATGGCAGTGGGGGCAGTGGCTGGTGGCATGCCAGCGCATCTCCTGTCTCCTTACGATTGGTCTCTTTAGATTCTGAAGGGCTCAAGGGGGCTGCAGGTGGGTGGCCGGTACCCATGGGGAGGTTCAGAGGGGGCTGCCCTGTGGTGTCACAGGAAGCCTGGCTGAGGAGGGGTGGAGCAGAGCCAGTGCTACCTGTGCTTATGTTGCTCTGGGCGGCAGAGGAGGAGGAAGAGGAGAATAGGCTCATGGTGCTGACACCCAGGGGGCTGATCATGGAGGAGCCCAGGGATGCATTGCTGTGGCCACTGCCGCTGACTGCTTCCAGCTTAGCTGCTCGTGCCTTGGTCTGATGCAGCACAGAGCGCATGTGGATCTCCAGGGTGGAGCTCTGGCTGTAGGCCACGCTGCAGATGCTGCACTTGAAGGGCTTGTGGTCAGGGCTACTGGTGGCCTCGGACTGGCTGGCGGAAGACTCCTGAAGGGCCCTTTTCAGCTTGTGCAGGTGAGAAACCGAATTGTAGTGGACCAGAAGGATGTTCTTCTGCGTGAAGGATTCTTTGCAAACGGTGCACTTATATGGGCGGGCTGGGTCCAGGAATTTTTCTAGGGTGAAATTTGGGCCCTTCCGGAAGGGAAGAGCCCGTTTAGGTTCTGAGCCAGAGTCTTCCTGTAGGGACCCACAGTCACTTCCTGCACGGCTCTGCTTGTCTTCCTGGTCGCTGTTCTCCTCCTCTTTCTCCTCCTCCGTCACCATGGTGTGGTCCTCAGCCAAGGAAGGGTCACCCATGGCCAACAGTTCTCCATTGACCAGCAGCCCACCGTACAGTTGCTGGATGTCGGCTTCGCTCAGATCCAGGTGGCTGGTCTCCAGATGCTTCTTAAGGGCCTGAAAAGTGCGGAAGCTCCGCTGGCAAAGGCAGCACATGGTGGCTGCCCGGATGACGTGGTACTGGGAGTGCAGCTGAAGCTTTTCTATGGTTTTGAAGGCTAGGCTGCACTGGTTGCAGCGGTACTTGTAGACGTGGCGATCAGAAACGGGAAGCTGTGGTCGCTTGCCATGCATCTCGCTAAAGTGGATCTGGAGGGCCGAGGAGCTTTTGAAGCCCTGGCCACAGCCCTTCTTCCAGCAGAAGAATCCCGCCTCCTCTTTGGCACTGGGCTGCTCGGATGCTACAGGCTTTACTCCGCTGCTGCCATGCCCCATGGCCTCTGGCAGCAACCGCAGGCTTCTGCCCTCTTCCTCCGAGCTCTCTGTGGAAGGGGAACCAGAGCAAGGAAGGGTCAGTGGCATGGCCCGGGGACCAGCAATAGCAATAGCACTTAGACTCATACACCACTTCACAGTGCTTTACAGCCCTCTCTAAGCAGTTTACAGAGACAGCCTCTTGCCCTTGGTTGACCCTTCTCAGAAGGATGGAAGGCTGAGTCAACCCTGAGCCTGGTGAGACTCGATCTGCCAAACTGCTGGCAGCCGGTGATCAGCAGACGTCGCCTGCAGTCCTGCATTCTCACCACCGCGTCACCACGGTGGCTCCCCTGCTTTGCCCCTCGCCGCCTCCGGGTCTAAAGTCTTCCCATCTCACCTGGCTCAGATTCCCCATTGAACCCAGCTCTCACCCTGATTTATCCAGGCTCTGGGTGTGTGTGTGGGGGGGGGGCACACATACTTCCCTTCTCCATCCCAACCATCTGCCCCTTTTGTGACTTTTCTTCACACCCGTTCTGGAATGAGCAAGCCAGAACAGTGGATGCCAACCAGGCTGCCCAGGGCCGGCTCTGAGCTCCCGCGGTTCCCAGGGGCCAACCCAGGGCTGAGGCCCTGCCACTCCCTCTCAGGGACCCTCTGGCAAGCGTTGTCTTTCGGGCCTAGGAAAAAGTGTGACTGACCAGGTTGCTGGAGGGATTCCTCATGCCCGTCTCGATCCGGTGCTGCTGCTGGGAGGAACACGTTGCTGGGCATCATCACCTCTGGTGTGGTCACCTGCCAAAGCCCCAAAGAAAACCAGGAGACGGCACTTAAAACCTTTTGCAAGGCAGGGAGCCTTTCAGACCCAACAAAGCCCCGAGGTTTTGCCCTTCTGTTTTTTAGGCCAAATTCAAGACTATCAAGCATGTTCCCGCGATTACATTCAGACGTAACTAATAGCGTCCACTGGATGAAAAGCATTGATGTTATTTCTCCGCTTTGCACGATTCAAACCGAATTTGTAACTGTGTTTTTGCACAATTCTTGGGTAGCCTGTGAGGATGTGAGGTTGTATGGCTGAGAATGCAGAAAGCTCTTAACTAAAGCAAGATGTGAGAAAGCACCCCAGTCCTGAACAAAGATGGCTGCACCCTTGTTTTCGGGGTGACTCGACCCAAGGGAGCTCAGCCAAAGGAGCAAAGTGGGATCCAGGAAAGGAGGAGAAAGGCTTCAGCTGCGCTTGTCTGGAGCAAAAGGAATCATGTCAGCCCACCCACCCCCCTTTGCCCCCTCCCTCCTCCCCACTGATAGGCATACCCCTCAGGCCCCATCCCCAATGAAGCGCTTTGAAAACTGCCACGCTCCACCCAGCTCCTGGAAGCACACCCTGAGCACACACACCACCACCCCCTCAAGAGACCTCCCCCCTCACTGCCCCCAGCCCAGACTGTGGCTGGGAGAAGATGCTCCAAGCTCAAGATCGGGAGATCTTCCTCCGGGATCTCCTAGGCTGGAAAAAAGGAAGTTGGTTTGATGTGTGACTTGTCTGTAAACTCCACAGAGAGAATGAGTGTCTTGGAAATCTGGATCTCTGGGTCGTCCACTCAGCACGGCCACCCAAAGCTGCAAACCAGAACCGCCCAGATGGCGTGACTGCCACAAGATGCGGCAACTCCCTTCTTCTGAAGGCAAGCAAGGAAGGAGCCAGGGCAGCTCCAGCCATGGCAACCAGATGCAGGGAGTCGGGGTGGAATGGAGAGACCTATGCTGAGTCTTTCCAAGGCTGCCTTGGCTGCTGCGGGGTGTGCGTGTGTGTGTGTGGCAGGCAGAACCACTCCCGAAGGAGAAGCACTGCCTGGGGAACTGACAGCCACCTGGGCGTCTTCCCGTTGGAAAGCTAGGAAACAGGCCAGGTATCCCGGGCCGCCTCCTTTCCCCGGGCAGAGTCCTCGAGGGAGTGCAAGGAAGGGAGCAGCATGGCCGGCTGCAGGGAGAAGGGGGCCTTTCCCAGGAAGCCAGAGGCCAGGCTGCTTGCTCCCTCTGCTGCGGTAGCCTGAGGAAAGGGACCAAACTCCGAGTCCCGCCAACTCTTCCATGCCTTTTCCAAGCCCCCCAGCTCAGTGGCTCTCTAATTGTTTTCATGCAGGTTAATTGGGGAAATGCAGGTGGTTACCAATAGCAATGGGGAGAGAGGCCTCCACAGTTGAAAGACTGAAGTCAGTCAAGGAAAAGAGAGAGAGAGAGAGACGATTCCAATCCATCGGGCCTCCCTCCCTCCCTCCCATTGTCTTGCGGAGTCTTTGATGGTAATTCCCGATTAAGCGGGATTCTTTGTCTGTCCCCACCTTCCATCAATTAACTCTCCCTGAAATATAATTGCCAGAGGCCCCCCCTCCCTCCTGGGGACGTGTTCATTCCAGACCCCCACCTGGCTCATCCGACCTAGGGCTGCTCAGGCTTCTTGGAAACGCCCCCACAGGTACCCACCCCCACCGCTAACCAAGCCCCCCCAAGGAGCACCCAGGGCCGCTGCCTCCTCTCAAAAGGGGGCGAGAAAGAATCTCCTCTCTCCGTTTCCTCCCTCCCCTCGGAATATAATTGGCCCCGCATAAATTCTGGGGGGGAGGGGTGTTCCTGTGGGGAGTCAGCCAAAGGAGGTGATTTCCATCACAAAGACCCCTGAGGCAGAGCCAGCCAGCCAGCCAGGGAGGGAGGGGGAAAAAAAGTCATTAGGCACACCATCAAGGTCCTTCTAATTTGGGCCACCTAATTGGCCAACGTGGCTCCAAATTAACAAGGGGAAGCCAGAGGACAGCTGACCCAGGGAGAGGCACACAATGGGAGTGGGAAAGAGGCAGGGGAGGGAAAGGAGAGGGCAACCCGCCCCCCCCACCCCGCAGGGTCTTCTGGCCAAGCCTCCATCTGTTCCCTGCAGGGGTGGGTTGAGGGGGGCTGCAAGGGTGTCCTGAAGCCAGGGGCCACTGGAGACTTTAGTCCACATGAGCCAAAGTACCCTTGCTCAGGATCGACAGGGCTCCTCATCCCCTCCCTGCACCTCCCCAGCAAACCCCCCCCCCCGCCGCACCACCGGTTGGCTACTGGCAGGCTGCCACTGCTCACCCCTCTGGCCCCACCAGGAATGTCACTACGCCCAACCCACCCACAGCACCCAGAGGGACCGAGTCCTTCCCCTCAGTTGGAGAAGTCCTGGAGGAATCCAGAGCTGAGGCCCCCTGAGCACAGCGGGCCCTCGCCTGGCCCCAACCCCCAGCGCAGTCTGCCGGTGGACGGCCAGGCGCCTGGGCCCAGCTCCGTTCCCCAGAGCCCAGGCTATTTCAGGGGAGCTTCTCGGGCGAAGGAGGAGCCCTCTTTCCAGCAGCCAGGAGGACGGCCTTCTTCCCACTGCAGCCAGCTGCGCCTTCCCTTTCTTGAGTGGCGGCAGCAGCAGCAGCAGCAGCAGTGCAGGCCTCCAAGTTCAGCCCCAGCACTCCCCCCAGGGGTGGGATTCTACTGGTTCAGACGGTTCTATAGAACCAGTAGCCCCGAAGAGCAGCTGACACCGGTACCGGTTCGCTTCAACCATCTTCTGGTCTTCTGTTTGGCCCACCCGCCTGCCCGGGCTCTAAGCTGCCCTTTATTCCCTGGCTTTTTCTTCCTCAGCTGCTGAGTGCCGCTTGTCAGCTGGAGGAGGCGAATGCTTGCCGGAGCTGGTAGTTTGTGAGTAGTTGCACATGTGTGTGTGCAAAGCGTGCGCTCCCCGAACGGGTTGTTGTGCCAGTAGGATCCCCCCCCCCTTGCTTCCCCCCACACCCAGCTGCCCTGGCAATCCAGCAGTTGAGGTTGCTGGCAGCGGAGGAGGTGTCCCTCCCCAGTGGCATCCTCATGGAAAGGGGCCACCTCTCCTCGGGCTCGGTAGCCTGAGTGCCTCTTGCCTCAAGCAGGCAACCCCGGGCCCCATTCTCAGCCCAGAGGGGAGGCCGGGTCTCCCCACTCCCCTGGGAAGGGTCAAGGTCCAAGAGGAGCCCAGAGCTTTGCAGGCGGTTTGAGCAGGGAGGCTGCAGGGAACGTCACGGGGGACCCTCGGCCTCCGGGGCAGCCAGAGCAGCCACCCCAGAACAGGCCGCAGAAGGTCTTCTGGCTCCTCCAAGCCCTCGGCCTTCCCAAGCTGCCCGTCCCGCTGCTTTCCCACAGCCCCTTCCCTGCCGTGCAGGGACACCAAAACTCCCCCCGGGAACTCACCGTCAAGAGGAGTTTCTCCACACAGTCGGGAGACACGCTGTGCAGGTGGGTGAGGTGCAGCTGAAGGTGGAGCTTGCTGCCGAGCAGGTCCTGGCAGAGGGGGCACCTGAGCATCGGCTGGATGGAGTGCTGGGTCACGGCATGCACCCGCAGCCGGTTGACATCTGGATTGCTGTACTTGCAGTAGGGGCACTGGTACACCTGGGGGCAAAAGAAAGCAGGTGCTCGCAGGGGGGGAAAGGCGGCCAGGTAGTCGTATGGCATGCCCCACAGCCCATCGTCACACCTGGCCAACCTTTTACAAGGCATGCTCTCCCTCCCTCCCATGCTGGCGCTGGGCTCCCCGGAGACCCAAAAGCAGATCATTCCTGGTTTAGTGCAAAAGCTTCTTAGGTGCCAGCGCTCCCCCCCCCCCCGGCATCTCACCTGCTCTAGCTCCGCTTCGTCAGGTGGCTTGGGCCATTTGGGGACAGGTGATGCCGAGTGCCTTGAAAATGAAGCCTGCTTGGAGGGGAAGGGGGGCTCTGCTGACTCCTGCTCAGCCTGGTGGCCTTGAGCTGCCAAAGAGAGAAAGACATCACTCTGTGAATACAGGACCTGGTGGCCTTAGCGGGCAGGGGGAGAGTCTGCAGGGGGGGCTCGGTCTAGAGCCCCCTCCATCCCTGCCTTCCTCCCACTTCGGCCTCAGCCAAAGGTCCCCTTTGGAGGAGCTCAGTTTGCTATCACCTGCAAGCCGACACGGTAACAGCAAGAGCATGTAGACTTCTGTACCGCTTCCCACTGCTTCCCAGCCCTCCCAGAGTCACCCTCTTGCCCCCAACAGTCCGGGTCCTCATTTTACCGACCGTGGAAGGATGGAAGGCTGAGTCAGCCTTGAGACTCAAGCAGTAGTTGGGGTTGAAGCTGCTGCCAGCCTCCCTCCCCAGCTGGGCCTGAGGAGCCTCTTCCTATGGCCAGAAGCCAGGCATGTCCCCATTCTATAAGCTCCTATAAGGAGCTCCTTTGTGCTTCCCACATCCCTGCTCAATGCAATGCAACAGCACCCCTTTTTGTGCCATGTGGGGGGCTTTTCCTGAGCCCCCTCTGCACTGAGGTGTTTCTCTGCTTGCCCACAGCTGGCTCCGAGTGGGCAAAGCACGTGTGTGTGCGTGCGTGTGTGTGTGTGTGAATACACGCTCCCTCTAAAGGGAGCGATACACTGTCTCTCAGAAAGAATCGCTTCAGCTTCACACTAGCAGTTTGACAGACAGATAAAGCAGCACTCAAATTCACCTGACACCCCACAGGAATTTGCGCTGTTGTTGGAAACATGAGAGCCAAGACTGGCAGGGAGGGAGGGTGGGAGAGCGCAAGAATCCCTCCTGGGTGGTTGCCGATGTACATGGGAGCACCAGGACAGCAAAGCAGCGGCCTCTGCCCACCCTGCTCACCTGCCCACTTGGCCTGGTCCGGGTCAGCCATGCTCTCCATTTCTTTGGCCGCCTCGTCAGGTCCTTCCGCATCTTCAGTGAGCTCCTCTGGAGGGGATGAGAGAGAGAGAGAGAGCCAACCTGAGGCCTGCTGCAGCGGGCTCAGTCGCCACGCCAGCCCTGCTCCGAGTCAGAGGAGGAGGAGGCGGCCCTCCCAGAGGCCCCGGCCTTTCCCAACCTCCGGGGGCCCGGTGGTCAGCTTCCCATCCTCCCCAAGAAGTTACCCTGCCTCTTCGGCAGACAGAACCTCTGATGAGTAAATCCCAGGCTTCTGCACCTTCTCCTGGACCAACCCACCACGCTCCCTGAAAGGGGAAGGAGGAGAAGCCCCTGAACCAAGCGAGGGGAGTCAAGCCAGGCAACCAGCAAGAGTCGGTGGGGTGGGGGAAGAGAGGACAAAACCAGGAAATCCCAAAAGCCCCTTCCCAGAGAGAGACTCCCAGGAAACTCAGCAGGCCTTTCTGGGGCGTCTGAAGAAGAAGAGGAAGAGGTGATCCCAGGCTCCGAAAGGGGTTTTCTTCAGGGCCTTGGAGAGGGAGGCAGGCAAGGAGGCCCACCAGAGTGGACCCACAAAGCCAACGGGGATTCCCCCACCTCTCCCCAGGAAAAAAAGGGAGGTCCCACCACGGCCACATTCAGGGCAGACAGGAGCCACCTGGAACGAGGTCGGCCCAAGCATCCCAGCTGGTGAGAGACGAGGGGGAGAAAGGCCGCAACTCCAGGAAACGCCCCCCCCATCCCGATTCTGCCACTCTGCAGAAATAGGTCACTCATCAGCAGCCCTGTTGGGGACTGGATCACTCCCATCGCCCTGGCAGATTCTGCATCAAGAAACACAATCTGGGAAGCGGAAGAGGCCAGCCCCTCCTCTCCCTTCCCTGCCCAGCAGTCCCTGGTCAAGACAGGGGCAGGGGATGGGTTGGCAGACTCCCCACCCCTTCTTCTTCTTCTTCTTCTTCTTCACAAGCGGCAGCCTCAGACCAGCCCCTCCCTCTCTGTGGCTGGAGAAACTCGGCTGGAGGGGGCTCCAGAGGCTCTGCAGCCCCTCATGGGCATCACCCCTGCCCTGGGAGCAAAGGGCTGCTGGTCTGGGGCAGAGGAAATCAAGGAGGGCTGCCCCAGAGTCTTGTCCTCAGCAAGATGAAGCAGCTCACGGGGAGGCTTAGAAAGCATAAAACCACGGGCGGGGATGCCGGTTAAAGAGGGGGCAGGGGAGGAATTTTGAATCAACCGGACACTCCAGGCCCACCTTGGACCGGCTGCCCCCATCCGGACTTAGCGATGGCAGCAGCAAAGCTGAGCACTTCAGGAGAGGCGGAAGGGACGCCTGCAGACAGCAGAAGTTCGGCCATGCAACAGGCCGGCTTTGGCGGGTTCTCCATGTGCCTGCAGAACCCTGTGGCACCTTAGGCACCGCCATTCATGGTGGCAAGAGCTTTTGTGAATTGCAGAACTGAGCGATGCATCTTAAATAGACAACTGGGGCCAAGGAGTCTTCTAAGCTGGCCAGGAGCTCAAGGAAAGGGCCCAGGGCGGATCTGAAGATACATTTCCCCTTCAAAATTAAAAAAAAAACAACCAACAAGAAGCAGAGTTTAGAGATCCATCAGGGATTATTATATTCCACCCAGCCCTCTGCATTCCAGGGTGCTGCTCTCAGGGCCTCAACAAACGTGGGGAGATTGGCATCGAGGCATCGGGGGGGGGGGGAGCCCTCATTCCTTTTGGGCAGGCTGCCTCCCTGAGGAATTTCCCCGCCAGTGAATTATTTGGAGACAAATCCTCTCTCCCAAGCAAGGGCACCGCCAGGCCCTAAACTGAAGCGCGCAGAGTGGACTCCCATTTCCACGCAGGAAAACCTGCTTTGCCTCTCCTGCCCTCCTTCATCCTGGCGGCAGAGCCAATTCTCCCTCCCGCCCAGAGCCTCCCTCTGGGATTCAGGCCTGATAGAGGCTGGCTTAACAAAACAACAGTCCTCACCCACACGGTCAGGCTGGCGTGGCTGGGGGAGGGATAAGGCAGGAAGAGGAAAGTGGAGCGCTGCTGCGCTGACTGCCCCACCTCACTCCCCCCGCATCCCATTCCAGGAGATTCAGCAGCCGAGAAACATGAGCTGTCACAAACCACAATCAAATTGGGTCTGAAATATTTAGCAGTGGCTTGGAAAATGCAGCGGTGCAGCTCTGACAGGCGAGATGGGTACAGACACCATTTTCCATTATAATGGAAATATTCCGTCTGTTCTGAATATGTATAACCCAGAAAAATGTATTGATTTTTCTTTCAGCATTAAAAAAAAAATTGAAATACCCCGCAGCTGTCAAAAGCCTTTTGTTAAAAGCTCATCTTCCTGGAATGAGGTTTACCAGAAACAAGTTTTAATTGTGCGCAGGCTGCTTCTTTGAAACACAGAACCTTCTTCTCCCATTCCGTCTCACCAGAAGAAGGCATCCTCCCTCCCTCCCTCCCTGGGCCAGCGGAAGGGGCAGCTCCAGCGCAGGGTGGCTGGGAGGTGGCTGGCCGAGCTCAGGAGACCCAGATCCACCCCTTCCCCGTGTGCCAAGACAGGGTAACAACGCCGCAGAAGGGCCGGGCAAGCAGGAGGCCACCCTTTCCCATCAACCTGCAGGAGGCGCTAAGGAGCCTGGGCTTGCAGAGGAAAGGGAGCCGGGCCAGGGCCTTAGGAAGGCCTTCAGTTGAGCACAGGGTTTCTGGGGTCCTGCAGCGCATCCCCAGGGGATATTTTGCCCTGGAGCCCCAGCCTCCCTCGGGGCCTAAAGCAAGGGATGGCTTCTCGCGCGCGCCTTTCTCCACCTCCTCTCCAAACTGGCCAGACTCGCTCGGGTGTGTGGCATCTGCACCGACAGCAGCCCATTCCTTTGTTTTCTTCCATCCATCTTCCCCTGCCCCCCCCCCCCACTTCTTCCCTGGGTTTTTCAGGTCAGGCTCTAGTATCAGGGGAGGAAGAACACCACCCTGACCCGCCCCTCCGCCTCCACCTGCTGATACTCCACTCACAGAAAACTTTTCACCCCCTAACAGGGGCCCCCAATGCTTTCCTGGAAGGCTCCCGAAATCCAACAGGGCTGGCACCAAAGACCAAGCTGCACCCCAAAAGGGAGGCTATTGCTAAGAAGGCCCCACCCCAGGGCCCCTATAGGGGGAATTAGCTAAGCCCTTCTCCCAGCAGCCTGGAGCAAGCGCTCTGAAAGGTCCCGGGGCCCTGGAGGTTGCAAAGGGGACAGTCGGCACCTTGATTTGCACCCAGTGCTGATCCTGTTATAAGAGTGAATCTAGGTTGGATCCAAACACCTAGGCTGACTCCTGTGGCACCAACTGAATATTCCAGACAACGCTTCAAAGCCAGTCCCACAAATATACCTCACAATGTCCAGCTACAACATGACCAGCGCATCAATAACAGCAAGCAGGATTTCACTTTCCCAGAAGACCACAACTGGCCTTGCCGTGGCCTCCACTCGCTGTGCAGGCAGGACTCCTGAAACTGGGAAGATCCAAACTTCAAGCCAGCCATATGCACGGGAGCATGAAGACAGGCCATTTTTGGGCTCAGCTGGCTTCAAGTGCGTTCACTATTTAGGCACTAGGACAGTGGTGGCTAACCTTTTGGGGCTCCAGTGCCGAAAACTGCGTGCATGAGGGCCATGTGCGTGCCCCCCCATGACCCCTGCGCATGCGTGCGTGACCCCCGCACCTCTGCACATGCATGCACGTCTCCTGTGCCCCCTGCCCCCCACTACGCATGCACACCAGATACCCGACCATCAGCTGGCGGGTAGACCTGCTCTTGGCAAGGGCTCATGTGCTGGCAGTAATGGCTCTGCGTGCCACTTCCAGCACTTGTGCCATCAGTTCACCATCACGGCACGAGGATATTAGCAGCCCTTCAACTTATCTCATTCTCCACCTGACGTTTTCCTTTTTCACACCAGCTGTTCTCTGAGATGGCATAGAAGCTCCATTGGGTGGGACCGAAAGGTTTATGAGATACCCAGAGAGACACTTACAGCCTCCATCCATTCCATGGCAACCCAGGACCCATTAGCAGCTCTTGGGCCAACTGAGCCCAAACCTTGCGAGAGGGGTGGAGAAGGGACATTTGGGGAAGATCCCCTTCCACCCACCCACCCACCCATCTATCTAATCTATGGAATAGAGAGAGGCTGGCTGGCTTTTTCTCTTGCTTTCCTGACCTCCCACAAGCAGGATTTTCACTCTGATGGGCTGCAGCATTACTGGTCAACCAGGAAGCGAAGCAGAAAGGGTGCCTGGACAGCTTCGGTGGCTTCCTTTCTTCAGCCCCTTTCTCTACTGGCCAGTGGCTCTTAGGCTGCCCAAGAAACTCCAAGGGAAAGACAATCCTGCTCCTTCAAAGCCAGAAGGGATGTGCTCCCCATACTTCCGTTTGGAGATGGATTCCTTCAACACATTTCAAATGCAATGATTGTGGCGATTTTTTTTAAGAAAGAGAAATGTACTCACTTGTACCTAAAAGGAAGCCCCACACCTATTTTTATTCTTCAGCTAAAACACATCAAAGTCCCCGGCTGACTTTGGTGAGGACCCCCAGCCTCTGCAGCTCAGCAGCCTGGTTTAGCCTTGCTCTAGCCCAGCTCTTCTAAAGCCTGCCAGGCTGTGGGGAGGCCACCAAGGCTCCTCTGCCGGGGACCCTTGTTCGACTCCTCTCCCTGGAATGCTGTGCATGCAATCAGGCTCCAGAAGAACCGGTGGTTCTCTTGCTGACCCATTCTAGCAGCCCCACTACCAGAAGGAAGCGATTGGACGCATAAAGGTGAGGCTGCAAATTGCAGGTGTTGAGAGAGAACCAACTAGGATGCCATCGCCATTCCATCTTCTTTAAATGGACTCAAGACAGACGGTGGCCAACTCGCAGCCTTCCTCGTGCAGGGAGTGTCTTTGGAAGGCTGTCGGAACTTGAGTCGCGCATTTTATTTTGTCCATCGTCTCCGCTGTTCCTCACACCAAGATGGTTCTCTGCTCCTGCAATTGCACATTTTCCAGAGTGC